TGTCACACCTTATTTACATCCTCATCTTTTGATTTGCTTATTGTGTTAACTCACCATACTGGTAATTTTACTGCCTTATTTATTTGATTTTAATGCACTGACCATTAGGGCTTTTTCTGTGATTCTGTGATTGCTTGCTTCAAAGCAGTTGTATTAGCCAAAACGACTAACATGAAATGAGGAAAAAAGTTTGAGACAACTAACCTTAAAGAGGAGCAGTGCCTCTGTCCTCACAGCATAGAAAAAGAATAGAGGAATGTTGAAAGGTAAATTGGTACCAAGATCATAATGCAAAGAGAAAGATTTCCTAGCACCTTGTGGATCAGATTAGTACGCCTTTTTCTCTTGTTTTTATGCAACAGCTAGTAAAGTAAAAAAAAAATAAATCAATACACACTGCAATCAAAAGCCAGAGAGGAGATACCTACGGTTGCCACTAACGATTATTTTGCAAATCGTTTAATCTGTCGATTATTTTTTCGATAAATCCATTAATAAACGGATAGCCAAAGGTTCTTTAAAGAAGTTTTTTTTACAAGAATAAACCAGATAAATATGCTCTGGATGAAGTTTTTTTTATCTTAAATGCAAAAAGTTGATATATATATATTTCATAATGTTAATATAATTATTGCTCTAAGTGGGTCGATCTGTCAGCTAAAGGCATATTTTATGGTCTCTATACTCCAGATTATTCAATTACTAAATTAGAATACTATTATTTCAATAATCCATTAATCACAATTAATCCCATTAATTGTTTAGGCCCTAAAGACGCTATCAAACAAATATATTTCTGGATGATTATTTAGGCTATAGATACTGACATCATCATGTGCAAAACAAAAATACTTTTTCACCTTTTTTAAAAAGAAACATCCCTCTATTCATATAAAGGGATGGATATATGTACACCATTGTACTTTATTTTGTGTACAGTGTGTATTTATGTACATATACTTCTACAGGTTTTTCCCATTTTTCTAAGATGTTTTCTATTGAGATCATTTTACAGTATGTAAGTAATACTGAGGTTTCTCTGTACTATATGGTTTTGAATACAGGTCCTGATCTAAAGGTGAAATATACCAACTGGAAGAGGGATTCAACATCATCATAGATCTTCAAACTTTCAGTCAGCTCTGCTGTTTTTACTGTACTATGGAAAACTGCTTGGTTCATCATGTCTGAGCTAAGAAGACGTCTTCTTCCTCTAATTCATACACTATATGATTAAATTGTTTTATATTATTCGGTAGACTCTTTAGAAAACACAACACAGCAAAGATTGTTGTGGGGGTATCGATGTCTTATAATTGTCTTGGTTGATGGTTTCAATAAATAATAAGGAACAACAAATTGTTGATATTTCTAAGGTTAGGAGGAATTGTCCCTTGGAAGTTGTTTGGATTATTCACCCCATTTATCCCATGCCGTATTATTGCCAAAAGTTGCACACCAAGTCTTATCCATCACACCAATCTGTAGGTCTGCCTGTTCAACAGTGTTGAATTGTTATACTCATTCTAAAGGAAGGTGGCCCTTAAAACCCCACCTGAAGTCCATATGTGTTTGGTCAATTTGATAATGAGAGTGCTGGCTTGTGCAGCGCAGGTCTTCGTTAAGCTTCGGGATCCAGTTGCATGGGGAAAGCAGGCATTCATGATATAATGGCTCTAGTTACCCGTTTACTTTGGGAGCATCATAGAGGATTATGTTCCTGTTTGCTGTCTCATTTCACCAGGGAAGGCCTGTGTTGACAGATTTTCCTTCACTATTGCTTCTGCCTTTTGGAGGACAAGGTATTTGAAAAAACTGAGAGTAGGCTTTTTCTGCCATGCAGTTCATTTTTTGAGTCATATCTGAGCAGTCTAGCACTGACCAGTTGGGGGTAGGACAGCTGCCTTTATGTCCGTCTTCCAGCGTTGCCTGTTTGTGACACAGAATCAGTATGAGCTGCCTTCTTTGTTGATAAAGCTTTTCTTTGAGTGTCAAACCCACTCCCGCCGGATGGTCCCAGACGGGCTGCCATTGGCTCTAAGCCAGCCTGAACAATCACACAACCTTTGTGCGGGCGGCATAAAAGCCCATTTGTCAGTAGTCTGAGTTAGTAAAGGAGGGAATTGTTGTGCAGCTATACCTGCTGTGCTCTTGTCTGTGTTGGTGTCTAGCTGATTTGTTTGTATGTTTCTTTAGATATTATGGAGGTTAAGGTCGCAATCTATCATCCAGGCAAACAACAGAGTGAACCCAGACAACAAAATTCAAAGCTAATTGTCATGATCTGCTACAACTAGGTACCAGAAGATAGAGATTTATCAAATGAAGAATTTTGGCACATTTCTACTTTAGATTTTTGTAAAGACTTTAAGTTTGAAGCTCAGAAGCTAAAAGCCTAACATACTGATAGTATTCCACTTTCCAAGTTGGTATTGACTTATAGTGTTAGTGGGATTGTTTGCATCTGTTAAAACATTTGCGAATACTTGATCAAAGTTTAAAGCGTAAGATAAAAAGGGCCCAAACCCTCATAAGAGATCTGCTTTCTGGTGTAAATACCGGATTGAATTTTTTATATGCTTGCAAAAATCTTCATACGTAGATTTTGCAAGTATTTTGCATGTTCTGACTTTTCGTATGTTACTGATGATGAGTGTCCGAAAGACGTATTCTTCTTCTCTTAGCTTTAACAGAATCGGTGAAAGTGTAGGTCTATTGCATCCTCTGTTAAAGCAGACAAACAAAGAAAAGGGTTTCCAATTTGTTAACCACAAGTCCCGGCCAGTCAAAAACAGCTAAATTTGATTACCAACTGTCTTCTTTACGAACATCTAGCCAAATTTAACATGTTTAAAATGATTACTAATCAAATCATCCCAACTGAAAGAATAGAGATTTAGTGAAGTTTTTAATAACTTTCTTATTACTATTTCAAGTCGTTTAAAAGCATAAAAAAAATGAATGAGAAGTTTATCCCTTAGTTGATTTTAAGACTTCTGGCAATAGTACACAGCAGAAAACTCCTATATAGGCAAGTACTCTCCTCTTGATGACTGAATTGAATGGGGGGG